ATTAGGGGGAGACGGGCAGAGATATATCTAATAAAAATAAATAAATAAATAAATAAATAAATAAACAAATAAATAAATAAATAAAGCATTCTTTGCATGCAAATCATGTTCAGTATCTCCTTTTCAGAACTCTTTACTTGGTAAGTACTCTGGGGTCAGATGTTGTTCCCAGATGCACATTTAAGACACTGATATTCTAAAGGAACCCAATAAAATATTCTTTACCTTGTTATCTGTTTATAGTACCACCTGCGTTTCTCCCTCTTCTTCCTGCACCCCTGCCATATTTTAATGTTCCCATAAAAGTAATGAAATAATTAGGCTACTGCTCTTGGTTTTTCCCAGAGAGATTTGGGGGAAGTTATTCTTGGTCATTTGCAGGTGATGCTGTTCATGCCTTCACAGATCACATCTGAGTTTTTTGCCCCATCTCAGCTTTTTCCCTTTCATTCTCTTGCATTGTAATCAGACTGAAAACTATTCTAAGCATTCAGTCCAATGTTAAAATCCCACTTCAGTTTTAAATTCCTTGTCTGTTCTGCCTAGTTTCTTCCTTCCGTCCCCCTCCCACCCCCCATCATCCCTTAAGTTGTTCATGCAAAGCTTTGCAGAAGAAGACATCTTCAGAACCCTTTCCCAAATAGATAAGAGAGGCATCAAGGCTATAACGGAGAAAATGCTGTTTCCTGGGCTTATTTACCATTATTTCTGGGAAAGTGAGTCTCATAATATGTCTATGCAAATATTGGGTTGAAGCAGGATAAAAATAGAAAACATGTATTGTGTGTGTGTGTGTGTGTGGTTTTAATGCAGCATGTCTCCTGAGATTAATTCTTTTTTAATAGTTATTTAATTACTTGGGTTTTACTTAGGCTGTGGCATCCTTCACCTAGTTTACAAGAATAAAACAAAGCAATTGTTTGCTGAAGGAGATTATGAGGCAAATTACTTTCAACCATTTATAGCTTAATACTTGAGGGTGTCTAAACATACTATGTTTTTCTAGCCAGAATTTGTGAAATGTTTAAATATAAAACCCTTGCCTATGTATGTAACAACTGCTGCAGTAATGTATATTGTATGGATGCTATTATTTTTGTTGTTATTTTCTATTAGTTGCATTTTCT